GCACACTGGAAATCCATCAAAGACAGAAACACCCAATTACCGGTGGGGGCACATTTCTCACAGGAGGGCCACTCTCTCTCCAATCTCTCAGTCCTGATCCTCAAGGGAAATTTACACAACACATCCCAGAGACGAGCCTATGAGCTCCATTTCATCAACCTGCTGGATACTAGAGATCAGGGACTAAATGTAGACATTGGATTTTTGATGCATTATAATCTGCCTGGCAACTGACTCCCCCGCCCAGCCCAGCCCAGCCCAGCCCAGCCCCTGGCTTCTTTACTTTTCATTCCATCCAGGAAGAGCACACACCGACTGCTGCAGCTTCCTTAGCCTGACGAAGGGTTTTTGAACCCGAAAGCTTGCTTAATAACTATTCTCCAGCTATCTGGGTTGGTCTAAGAAAAGATATCAAATTCACCCAAGGAACCTTGTCTACCGATGATTTAATGATACTTTTGGAAATTCCTTCTCAAAAAAAGTGGTATTGTGTGTAGAGGAGCTGGAGCCACAGTATACATCAACTAATGATGTCCTGGTTGAGGGTTTGACTCTGGAGTTTTGACCTGACAACTCATGCAACTGATAGGAAAAAAACCTGTAATCAAAATATTTCAGAACTACTTGTTCTGGTTGGGGAAAAAAAAAAGTAAATATTTCAAATATTCATACTCAGTTAGCAGGACAGAGGTTCTGAATTATTACGAGTCCCAGCTGGTCCACTTTTCCAAGAGCTGTATCTTCTGGAAGCAGGCCATTCTGAGCAATTTGAAAGAAGAGGGCTGTCCTGAGTGGATATTTTACCTTCACAGTCTGAGTCTGATGGTAGAGGAGGCAGAAGTGTGGAATTTTTGATCCTAATGAAAGAGAACTGATGCTTAAGGAACTGGAAATGTGATACAGTGGTCTGAGAGAAATGAGGTGGTGCATTTTGCTCCAGTTCCCAAAAAGCAGGCATCCTCTGCCACCTCTCACATGACTGGCAGTATTGCCTATTTGGTAGTCTCAGCAGAGAGGCTGAGGGTTGTCAACCCTGGTCTCTAAGACGTGGAAACTCCCTTTCAGATTGGGGTGTCATGGCAATGAACAGTATTTGTATACAGAAAGTTGCATTCTCAAGCTCTTGCTTTGTATCTACCTTCAACTTAACTTCCCAGGTTTGCTGCCTAAACCTTTTCCAAGCACTGAAGGGTAAAGCTATGGAGAATTCTTTTTCCATAGTGAAATAACTAGGCTGTACAAATCTGGAAGGAGATTGTGCCATGACACCTCAGTGCACTGAATATTTTTGTCATCTTTAGTAGATATTTCCCCACAGAAACAAACTCTCCAGCACTTTCCTTTTTTCACTATATATTTAAAGGACTTAATCCACCATATAGAATCTAGTCTTGAATTCAGCGGGAAGCTAGGCAGTGCAAGCCCTCTCCACACACACACACACACACACACACACACACACACACACACACAGACGTGCAGTCTTTGATTACACAGCTGATGTGAAGTTCAATCCAAGTTCATTCCAATATTGCAAGGAGCTTCATCTTTTATATAATTATCTCTAATAGTTTAGAAAACAGGACGATACTGTATCATGTGCAAGTAGCACAGCAATAAACGTGTTCTCATCACAATTTACACATAGCGCACGAGTCCCTCGAGGTAATTCATCCTCCTCGTGACAGCTTTAATAAAAAATGATGGATCATTTTAAATTGACAGTTTAGAAGGATCAAAAATTTGCCCCAGTATTGTTTTGAGCTCCGGTATATGAGAGCCATTTTGTGTTCTGTGAAAGTTGTATTTGCCTGTAAGCACCGGGGCTCTGGTACTTTCCTCCCCACAATGTTGTGAGATGCTTGGTTTCTATAAGAATCTGTTCGTTCTAGGTGGTACTAGGCACTTAAAAAACATACCAAGAAGTAACTACAGTTGTGGGGGGCTCGTGACAGGGAAATATCTAGCTGATTGAATTGTAGCTACTGGAATCCTCTTCTAAGCTTGTCCAGAAGGGAGGATTGTCATATATATTGGAGGTCTTTGCACCCTACAGTAACGCAAGTAGGAGGCAAAGTTGAAGCATCTCCTGCAGCAACTTACAAGAGCGTC